AGCTGGCGGTCATTGATAGATCCAAAGAAGTTATTTGTCTGCGCAATAATCTGGGTGATTTTCATCGATGACTACCCAAGCTGTTTACCATTTGGTTGATGAAAAGAATACATTATTCATTGTACAATGCGAAAGTGGGAGTTATTGCTTGTGAATTAACAAAGCTGACTTCTATCTTTCACACTTGGGTTTCACGAAGTCTGAAAAGGAGAACAATGGTGGATAGTAAAGCATTTTTCTAATGATAGAGGCCTTCGTTTTACTATTGTAGCTGTGACAATCGGTTGGTACATTTGGTGAGGAGACCGAACCAGCCGTTAAAGTATGGACGCATTTGCATCGCAACGGGAGGAGTGCCTCGACCAATCATACCTCACCATCCCCTGGTGTTGACCCTTCGTGATACCGAGTCTGTCACCCACTTCCGTTCTCGTCTCTCCAGTAATGTCTCCTCTTTCTCCCCTCGCTGAGCCACACTTTTTTGAGTGCATTTGCAACGCACTTTTGCGCATGTGTGGCGAGGCCTTAAGTTGCTTATAAGCTGTGCAACATTCATACCTTTTAAAAGAATTTGCTCCAAAAGTGCGCTTACAGATACTTGGAGGGAAGCAAACTTGTTCAGTCAGTGAACTCACCTATTACCAATTTTCGTTGATGTTATCACTGTTCTCCTGTTCATTTGCGAGAAATCTCGTAATTTTTTGGTTTGATTATTGCAAACCGGCTGTGGGATAAGGAGTATATTCGTAAAACAATTTTGAAACTGCTTTATTAATATAAACGCTGGTGCTACATGTGTATTATTTCATTTCAAGTCTTTAAATGTTCAAGACTGCCCGTGGGTTTATGTATAAGTCGATGAATGTGTGTGTCAGAGTGATCCATGTTAAAATCTTCTGTTGCCTTTTGTACAAATGAACTGCATAAATAAATGTCGGACTGCCGTTTTGAAAGTGATGTCTGATAACTTTTGTTACAAAATCTCTCATGCGATGAAGAACACACATATTTGAACTTCCATCGCATCAAAATGTAGCAAATTTTTTAAGTTTTGAGTAAACAAGCACTATTGAAGGTCCAAAGTTCATTGCCACTTCATCCTCTCGACCCTTTAAAAGTGGAGCCTCGTGCTAACACGAAGATACCTTTGTTGTTGAACTGTTTGGCGTGGTAAATGCTCCAACTGACCTGATTCTCCACTGTTGTATTTTCTTCGAAAAGCCGTCAACTAAATTGGTAATTGGGTTTTCCGGGATGAATTTTGTAGAAAAGTAGGACATGAAGTTTGGCCCTTGCACTTGTCCTTGTCTTAATGTCTTTTCCTACTGGCACAGGGTGCATTACCAATCATTTGTATGATGAGGTCGAAACCAATTCAATCTGCCTAGGCATTGCTCATTCTTGGCCTTCGACCTAGGTCACCGGCATTTTGATGACACTTTGCTGCACGTTATCCTAAAAGAGGTCAAAAGATCAGTTATGACGTTTGATTTAAGTTACTGCCCTCCATATCACATTCACACCACTTTGGTTATTTAATGAACTTGACCGTCCAATGTGGTAGGCATTTTCTACGAGTTTTAACTGATTGGGACTGTAGGAACGACGCAAAGCAGTCATTACGCGGCATCATCCTAAGTGCTATGTTATTCTGTTATAAAAGGTGCCCGACGTGTTGTGTTGGTTGGCAATGGAGGCATAGCTACGGAAGTTGCTTATGAGATCAAGGGGTGTCAAGTCATATGGGTGGTCAAACACGAAAACATCTCAGTACCCTTTCTTGACCCTGCTGCCTCACAGTTCCTGCTTCAAAGTGGGCTAGCAAAGCGGCAGAGAGCTACTGGTGGAGCTGCTAATGTTGGCAATGGAAATGGAAAGAGCGAGACGGCGCCACTGATCCGTACGCTCCGCTACACCCTTGCGAATCGCAACAGCGGCGGTTCTACGTTTCAGCTCGTGCCTGCCCACGATGGCACTGGAGCAAAAGAAGCAAGTAAATCCACTGGGTCGGCTCTTGGTCCCGACTGGACTCAGGGCCAACGATTCGCTGGCATCATGGAAGAGGGCACACTCAATCGTCCTCTCAAGGTAATCCTTATTGTTTCGTCTACCCAAAACATGCAGCGCTTAAAACTCGCGGATTCGCTTTTGGCGTTCATAACGTTACCATCGCTTCTCTCCATTCTCAAAAGTTAGAATGTGGTACCGAATGACCAGACGCTTAATTCTCTTTCTCAATTCATTCCTACACCTTTGGTTAATCCAAGTCATGTAGTCATCGTTGGGATGCTCATTTCGCTCAAGTAAGGAAAGAAGGTAAAGTGTCCTGTAGGAGTGTTCAAGTCTAAGCAGACATCTATTAAAGCTTCTCCATCTTAAACACAGTAGACATGCCCTACTGCTTTTACAACCTATTGGTTTCTTTTTCGGTCGAACTTTTGTTTCCATTCTTATGTGCTTACTTAATTTTGGTTAGTAAATGGTTGAATCACTTAGTCAATCATAAGGTTGCCAACTTGGGGTCATTAATTTCGGTTACAAGTGAGCATTAGCTCTGAAGCTTTTACACAGTGGTGATCTTTGTTAGGGTGAAGTAGTTAATCATATGTGTTTATTATAATCTATCTGCGTGCTCTGAGCTACTGGTATATGCTGTCAGGTAGTGTACAAGTGTCAAGTGGATCAGATTCTCTCCCCATCGGAGTTTGCCGAATCGGGTGACACGGCAGTCGAATCCGACTCGGAGGGACCTCTCTTACCGTCGGTCTGTCCCAAAAGCTGGCCCTTGTACGTGCGGTTGAGTAACGGAGAATGCTATGGTGCGGACTTTGTGATCAGTGCGATAGGGGTGGAGGCGAATCTGATCTCCTCTACTTCCACCGCCTTCCCTACCTTTGCTGTACCCTCAGCACCATGCCCTGTGGTGCTAGAAGCACAAGATGGTATCGCTACGGCTTCTATTGCAGAGGGTGGCGGTGTGGTGGTGAACGAGATGATGCAGTCCTCCGTGCCCGAGGTCTACGCCGCCGGTGACTGTGCTTTTGCGGGCTGGAGGCCCAAGGCGCCACACTGGTTCCAAATGCGCCTCTGGTCGCAGGCTCGCCAGACCGCCTTTCAGGCAGCTAAGAGTATGTTCTATCACACCATTGGGGAGGAGGCTCCTCTAGACTTCTCCTTTGAGATCTTCACCCACGTTACTCACTTCTTTGGCTTCAAGGTTCGTCTCATTTCAAGGATTTATTTGACTGTTATTTGCGATGTTTAGCTGTGTAGGCATTTTGTTCATTTGGTGCTCATATTTTTGCAAACTTGTCCTTTTGTTCGGGAGAGTAAGGCGGTTTTATTTTGGTATTTGAGACGGGTTCCATCTGTCAATTGAGCGCAGAATTGTGCAGCTGTGTTCGGTATAAAAGTTCCTTCAGAGCTATGAAACAGGTTTTCATCACTCTTGTACCGAATCACATCATCGCCTTTGAGGAAAAAAATGACAATTGGACCGAATGAAACAGCGATTCAACTTTTATGTTGCTAAAATTGAAGTATTTATATTGGCATTTACATGTGATAGAAAACTTTTTGCCAATGCTTCTGTACTAGAAATTTGTGATGCATGTCAGGATAAGAATTTCCGTAATAATTGTTTAAATTGCACCCTTCCTGTTGTAGTTACACCTCCCACAACTTCCCAATTATGTGATGCACTTTGGAATTATCCTCTTCATCATTTTTACTCACACTAAAACGCAGTCGTGGCATCGCGCTGAATGGTTCCAGCGCCGTGGTAATGAATGCATGGGGAAGTCATAGGGGTTGCTTCTGGTCGAAGTGATGAGAAATCTATAGACTTTACAATTTATCTGCAATGTGATGGCTTCTAGTACCTTTTTCTCGATAAGTCGTAAAAAAGTATGATTGAAAATGCCTCATTTAGCAGCCGTTGGATAAAAGAGTCGCATGATGCACTGCCTTAAG